TGTTTCATTTACTCTTCTCCTACCCCCTTAACCCCCCATGTTGCATCTCCTCTCCCTCCTATCAGGGAGATCATATGATAGTTGTCTTGGGAGAACTGACATCTTAACACTATCAGAAACTATTCTTTCTTTATTCAGAACTTCCTTAGTGTCCTTTAAGTGTCTTTTAAAATTTCTTAAAGATCTTATGCATTTTTTAAATAGTTTTATTGGTACTATGTGAATCTATTATATTTTCTAGTTGGTTATTGCTGATATAAAGGGAAACTACAGATGTTCTGTAAATTAATCTTACATACATCACACGTGTCGAACTCCTTTACTAACTCTAATGGATTCTGTATTGGTTCTTTGGGTTTTCTGGGGAGGAGAGGAGCTCATTTGTAAGTAAGGACAGTCCTGTGTTGGAGAGTAGCAGTGAGAGTAGTCATGCTTATTTTGTTTCTGGTATTAATGGGAATGTGTTTTAGTGTCCTTAAAAAAAAGCCAAGAAAGGACTTGAGTCCCGGTAGTTTATCAGGGAGGTGATACTACACAACTAGAGCAGGAGACGGAGAGTGAGCCAGGAAAGGAGGAAATGCCAGTTTATGTACAGGTGTGTTATGGAAGGTGCCTGTGGAGGCAACGGGAGCTCAGTTCCACTTCTGAGGACACTACAGAATGCCTCCCATAGTTCTCTGTCTGAAGAGCCTAAGGCCGGAGTTTAATCCATTGGCTCTGGTCCCTGTTGGTGGAAGGGTAGACACCCCCACACTTTCTGGCTATGCTTGCACTTGGGCCAGCAGGTTCTTAGCTTTGGAGGCCTCACAGCAGCAAAAAGCGAAGAGATCTGTGGTGCAGGCTTGAGGCGGGGTGTTGGCAGCATTATCCGAGCTCACACACAGCTATCACAGCCGCAGTCAAAATCGGAGGTGCAGAGACCTGCTACAGGGCACCAAAGGCATCTCCTTCATCCACTCCTGGCACCACTCAGATCCACTCATGGCCACGTTAAGTCCACCCTGGGTTTTTTTGAGGGAGGCCAGCTGTAATCTCTAGAGCGTATAACTCAAGAGGGTTAGTGGAACTTGCCGGTCCCCATTGCTGCTGCTCACAAGTCCATAACTATTTACCTCCTCTCCCAGCCTTCCTAGAGTTTCCTCATTCTCGGCCAGTACTTCACCTGTGCTGCATTGCGGGTTTGGTGCAGTGATCACACCCTCTTTGCTGAGGGTTCAAAGCCCTCATCCTTTATCAGGCTCTGGTGGTTCTGCCTGCCTGTTGAGGGAAACCACTGAGCACGGAAACACCAGGTTACGTCTGTGAATTCTCTGCCCTGTTAGATAGCAGTTAAGTCTTGCCTCTCAACACAGATGACCAGTGTGATACCCGCTTTCTTTGCCTGCTGTTCACCAGTGTGCAAATCTCCAAGTGTGTACGTGGCAGACAGTTTCAGGTGTGGTGGGACCCTCACTGTATTCCCAAGTAGAAGTGTGCCCCCCCCACCCGAGGATTTGGGAGCTCCTCTACAATAGAGCTGACAGCTGCAGACAGGAAGCATAAATTATGCAAATGGTCCCAAGGAATGATACTGAGAAAACCCAAGATCACTGGTGTGTGGACCTGTATACCGTCACTGCTGGGAACAAGAACTCCTGGTTTACTCCAGAGGCCTGCAAACTTTCCGTAATGGGCCAGAGAGTAAGTATTTTAGGCTTTATGGGTCATAATGGTCTCTGTCACAACTGCTTGGCCATCATAATGCAAAAGCAGCCATAGACAATACAAATACAAATGTGTGTGACTGTGTTCCAATAAAGTTTTATTTACAAAACCAGGCGGTGGGCCGGATTTGGCCTGCAGGCCATGGTTTGCCAACCCTGGGTTTAATGCATGGAACATAGCCCAGAAGATGGTGTTCTCAT